ATACTATGTATTATATTCGTTCGTGCTCTGAAAATACTCCCGCTTCAATACCTTGATCAAGAATAGGTCGAAAAAAATAGATGAATAGCTACCCAGTCTAAGTAAATCAAAGTAAACGAAACAACCATACCGTAACGGAACAATTTAATTCTGAAGTCTAAGCTAAAAGCGCAAGTATGGTTATGATTTTAAAAATTGATAGTGTAAATGTTTTACATCCCTATCAAATCCTTTTAGACCATGGGGATGGGCTACTGCGACAATGCCTATTAGGGCCAATCCAACCTGAGAGGGGAACATTATAATCCATGCAGTCGGGCGGAGATACTCTGTGAAAAACTTCCCCGCCCAGGAGTCGAGCCCACGTCGGCTGCGTGCTACACCGAGGCGCTTACATCGGCATTTATCGCTACACCACAGACACTTGTAACGCAACGGTACTGTGTTGCCTCCAACGACCTTACAACAACTGTATAACTGCCTTGGTTGCCCCTTACTCGTAGACATGGCATGCTACAATGATAGCACATTGTGCGAAGAGAAATATTATCTTTACATATTATATTGTGAAAGTTCTTCACTTTGGCCGCCTAAAACTTCCTAACCACTTAACTTTCGAATTTGACCAAATTAACGGCGGTTCAGAATCATTTGAAGGGTGCACAGTTTTATTGAGGAGCCTTAAGTCATTGTACTTTAATTTTCAGTTTTTCATTAGTTTTGTTTCGATCTATAGTAATGTCTTAGGGGGAGAAGGTCTGGAGAAGGAGAACTCTCGACTGCTCTTGCGTCTCTCTTCGTGGCGTTTCAAAATGTACGACTTTAAAATGAGTGGCCTTGAAATGCCTCTAGCTGACGAATGGCCTCAACGAATCGAGATGAAAGGGAATAGCTCGATGTTTAAAAATAATATAAATGTATATATCGGTCAAAATAGTGATCCCTCAAGTTTGCCTCAAACTTATTTTGTTCTTGAAGCATTCAAATTTAGCCCTAAGGAGGTTTTGTAAAATCCTTGTTTAGCCCATGTTTTGTTCAGACTGAAAAAGAAACGACTCGAAGGTCGTTGCTATAAATGTCCATTAATAAGAAAAATTCGCTTCTGGAATTCAAGTCAATTAAAGTGAAAAGCAGTTTCTGTTTGGTGTACGTGAGGAGTGTTTCTTTTAGTTTACGCCGATGAATGTGCACGACAGTTATGAATAGTACGAACTGTAATTTGAACCAGTTTCGTTTTCCATAAAATCTCTGAATAACAAAACTGGAACGTTTACACGAATGATCTCAAGATGATATTCCCTACTGATAAAGACAGATCTTTCAAACAGTTCGTCGATACAGCCTGGTTCTCGTCTTGGCAGAAAACTGGCTGTCATCTACGACCGGAAGTGCATATATGTCTATTTTCAGCCGAGCACTTTGCCTAATGGCAAGATTGTTATTGTGTACGCAGGAAACTTTATGCAGGTTTCATTCCTTTTCAGTTACAGCCGTCATTCCTAAATTACCCTTGGAAAGAGCAGTTGAAGAAACCTCTTGATTTACGTTACTCTATTGTTGTCCTGGGAGAGATTCAAAGTCTTCTAATGCCTCGGCTGCTCTTCAGAATCCTAGAATGCAAAGACTGCAATTTATTGTGTAATGCTAACGAAATTTGCGTTTGCGAAGTGAATGATGAATGTAACTGTATCAAGGACGATCGTGTCTGAGAAGCTGAATGGCTCTGTCGAGCATTCATCTTGCCAATGAATAAATGCATGGTGGAATATTGTTTGCTCATGTATACACTTAAATGCAGAGACATTTGAGGTCATAAGCCCGTTTTGGCACTTTCTCGTAGATACTCTCGAAAGATCCGAATAAACATGCGCGTATTGGTGTTTTTTGTAGAATAAAGGGAGTCAACTGTTCATATTATCGTTGCTTATTTTGGTTCAAGAAAAGGTAACACATCTTGGCTGTTACGGCTTTCATCGATATGTTCTTTCTGTTTTGTGATAGGGAAAGGTAGGATGTGGGATGTTTCTGTCTCTTTTGCTTGTGGACTTCTGTAGTTATTTTTAGCAGGCTCGGTGGCCGAGTGGTTATTGAGCACTTTAAACTCACTAATAAACTC